TTTACAACAACAAAATAATTCATTTTCGGTTAAGTAACGTATGGCCCGTTGAAAAAGTATGAAACACGAAAAAAATATGAACAAAAACCACTCTATTATCATCATATTCAAAAGAGCGCGGGTGTATTATTCACTGAGTGATACTTGAGTAATACTCACACTTGTTGATTGAAACTGAAATGAAATTTTCCGAAAAAAAATATTCCTATTAACAAAATTTGTGTTTGACTGTAGATGGAAAGAAAAAGTTGCGAGACATTATAACATCTGCGTTCGCAGCATCAACGCGAAATTATTTTGTTCTGATTCTCATACAATCCAAAGAGTGTCATGCAAACAAGATAAACGGTGACTTGAGTCAATATCCGTTATTGATTTCGAGTCGATTCCCTGACTAAACCCAAATGATTTTGAATTCCTGCAAATGAATCGATGCATAACAAATATTGGTGATGGGTTTAAAAATGAATCAATACACAGTAAAAATTGATTTTTTCTCCGTGCACAAATCTATTCGATGGATAAACAATTTACATACACTCGGACAGAAAAAATATCCCCATACGCTTCTAAGACTGAAGAACGAAAAAAACCCAGAAATGTATTCATGATTCACTCACACTCTGTGAAGAATTAAACCGTAACTATTTTATTGCCCTTAAAATGTGATATTTTGCCATTAAATTGATTGCTGTAGTTCTGAACAATTGCGTGCTTCACATATCATGTCCATATAAACAATAAAACAGATAGTAGTTTTAATCAGTAGACTGCATTTTTGTTCGACTCGAATTTCAATTTCATAAAATTGAAAAGTTACATTTTGAGGACTGATAAGACGTTCGAGGCAAGTAGAAAATGCAAGCCAAATTCAAGAACTCATACAAATAAGCGCATTACGGGCTATTCTTCCGCATGAATCCGGTAAATACAAAGGGCCGAAGAAGAAAAGAAACAATAGCGACAAAAACATAAGTCGATAATATCGGATCTGAGACATCAAACAATTGGGACGGTGTTTGGAAGTGTTTGAAGTGATTTTCATTTGTACACATACATCCAAACACACACACACACACACATACACACTGAGTTTATGTTTTTCCAAAAACAGAATCAAAATAATGTAATGCCGATAATCCGAAGTGCACTTTCATGACATTTCTTCGAGCGATAATTCTCATTCTCTCTCTCTCTCTCTCTCTCTCTCTCTCTCTCTCTCTCTCTCTCTCAATTGATTTGAAGACAACACAGAATGTGCTCTTTTTGAAGTGATTCTAATGAAAATCGAAAAGAAAAAAAATACGTAGTTGAAGATAAAGTGATTTACCAACAATAAATAAAATATATATCTGCCATTGGACACATTCGCTTCGGCCAGTATGCATTTAATTGCTTGAAACGATTACTTGCGCGCACACCCGGGAATTTCCAACCGTATGTGTGTATGAGTGTCAATTACTTTCACATTACGAAATCATGATCAATAAGGTTTTGTCCATTGGTCAATTTCCGACAAGTGCCTTTTCCAACGAAATCGAATTAAAATCCATTAAATATTAAACGCATATGACAAAATGTAAAGTTTATCCCTAGTAAACACGAGCAGAAAGGGACGGGCAGAGTAAGAGAGGGAGGGAGAGGGACAGAAAACAACAAAACTACATGTGTTTTAATAAATAAGAAAAGATTAAAACACAAAAATAAGAAAAAGTTGAAAAAATAAATATTGGTAAATTTAAGTAAATACAATCAATTCGAGTTGGAGAAGAGCGAGAGAGAGAGAGAATGAACGGAGGAAAAAAAATCCACAGGCACTAAAAAGACGCTCGCTCGCTCGCTCGCGTGCGCTCACGCACAATGCATACAGAAAGGTTCATCGAGCGCGCCCCAAACACATAATTCAATGATATCTGCCATTTATATATACAATTAAAAAAACATTGAAACCATAACGGATGTGTACTTTATCATTATTATTGTTATTATGATTATGATTTTTTTTTTCTCGTCATTTTTCTGAGCTCATTTATTCATTGTTATTTACTTGTATGTGTCATTTCACAAAAATGAATAAATACGTTAAGAGAGAAACGGCGATTCGAAAAGAATGTGAATAAAAAATGAAATTACCACATAAACTGTACACGTAAGTTGATGAAATTCGGCTTCATTCATGTCCACCAATATTTCAGATATTTACATTTTGGTATCACTTGATGAACGAATGAATTATCGATACTTATTTTGCATGCACTCACATTGCTTGATTTAATCATTCGGTCGTCACTTTGCCCACTCCCCCCAAACAAGAAACTCAGTTATAACCTTCAATTGAATAAAAAAGCATAAAAATGTGATAAAGGACGCAGATTAAATTGATTGCTATTTGCAATTATTCTACCGTACTGTTAATGAAATCTTTACCAATTGTAACTCAAGTAATAAAATTTGCAAGTTTCAATACTAATTATAAAGTTGCTACATGTCAATACATTAAACGATCATCACTTAAGAAATATTTTTGGCATCGGGTCAAGTTGTAAATCATGATTTTATCGATGAAACCACTTTAATTGAATACATTAGCAGTCAAGTGTTTTTCTCTTTCTCTTGTTTTCTTTCTATTTCATTTATGCAAACAAAATCTTCACTAAATAATAGTTCAAACCTCAAAAAGTCTCAAAGTTGATTCAACAAAATCCCAAACGAATCAGGGAAACAGAGAAATTCGGAGAGGTAAATTGATATTAAGGTCCGAGTTCTGGCTAAATGTGTGACTATTTTCATTGTTTGTAAATAGAATTTTTTTCCATATAAATGCATCAATGTTCAGCGGGTATGCATCAATTCCTAAAAACGTATTCTATTTGCTTATTCAATTTTTGACCTATCATTTATTCTCCATTCGATTTCCAAGACCATTTCCATTACGATATAAAAAAAAACACACACACTCAAATATTAATTTTTATTAAATACACACATCTCGTGTGTTTTTTTTTCTCGGTGTCCAATGCGTGTGCTTTTTTTTTAAATGTGTGGAAAGAAAAACAAAACAATAAAAATGATGACGACCACGATGAACCAAAACAAGATGGAAAAAAGCACATACAACAAAGTGCAAAGTAGTAAGCACGGTTGAATCGTTCGTATAAGGACGACGTGCATTATAATGTGATGAATCAATGTGTGAAATAAAATGAATGTGGAGAGAGAGCGAGAGAGGAGAAAAAAAGTGTGTCTGGATTTGTTCAAGACTCGAGACAAAATCCATACGAATCCGAATGTTGTACCAATCGAGCAGAGCAAGACCACCCCACCGAGATAGACATTATTTGTATTTAGACAGATATGCGTATATATTTAATATATACATATGAAGATATGAATATATTTTATTTTATTTTTTTTCATATTTGATTTGGTAGAGAAAATCGCTTTCAGCATATTCACACATCAAATCTACCGGGAACAGTGTATGCACATATATGCATTCAGTATGCACACCAGACGTTCAAATTAAATCATTAAATAAGTGCATCGATGCACGAGGTGCAAAAAATGAGTTATTGGTGAATTTCGATAGAAATGCACATTGTATCCAGAGTGTTGTGTGTTGTGGTGCATATGTCGTTAGCAAATACCACAGCCTACGCCAGTTATGTGCCACTTTGTAAGCGGCAAACGGCACAAACAACAACAATAATAACGAAAACAGCCACAACGACGACGACGATGGTGACGACGAAAAAAAAACATATCGACAATATTAACACATTGACTTGTGTAACGATGCATTTTGTTGTTTTCGTTGAATGCGATCATCTTGTTCGCGCTTACCATGTCTTGTTGTTTTACATGACATACCGCATTCACTGATAATAATCCAACATCGGACGACAACTCACGATATTTGATGAATTTTAAATAAAAAACAGAACGAAACAATCGTATAAAAGATATCCATCGAAAAACCGTTACTCAAAAATCTATTTATGGTGAGGTGTTAATTGAATTAATTTGAGTAGTGTTTTGGTTGATTGCTGCGCACACATCTCTCATCAATGTGCGATTGTTTTCCTACATCTTGTTTCTTGGCCCGTTTTTTTTCATTTTGATTTCTCCATTCAATTTCAGTTTATTTATTTTTTCTGACGAAACATTCGGTGTCGTTTTTTTTCCGGGTCCAAAGTCAATCGAATAAATTCGGCTGCCATTTTTACGCTTAATCAGCACAATCAATTTAATAAAAAATGGAAAAAAACACACATGAGACGCACGCGGCACATCTTATCCATGACAAAGCAAATATGTGAATTGGCTATGAATTGGGTTTGTTTTTGTTGGCCTTTATATTTGTCATGGCAATTCAATTTTCTCACCAACGATTCGTCAATGAAATACGGCGGCTCGAATGGATGAGCTTCGAATCAACCTAATAAATCTATGAATTTTAAATCGGCATGATTGTTCTCTCACCGCAGCAGCCGTTTTTATAATATACACATGTGTATAATATAAACCAGTAGCCGCGCGTCCATTGCGTATGTCAAATAATGCGCTGAAAGCCACTTATTTTCACACTTCATCTCTCTCTCTCTCTCTCTCTCTTTCTCCATCACATTTCATCTTCGATTGCGTTTATTTGTGAATCGGTTATTCGATTGAGCGTCTCAATCTCTCGAACCATTCGATTTCGAATTAAAATGTGTGCGGTTGTCCGCTTGTTCACTTCAACATCGATTGACTCATGAATTTCACGAAAATAATGTACATTTTTTTCACTGAAGAAAAAATTATTTCATCATTATTCAAATAATTCAAAAACGTTTTTGTTTTCCTTTGTTTTTTTTTGGCGTTTTTGATTGCAAACGTGTATATAGTTGAGAAGATCATTTCATTTTAAATGTTTTATTTCAATTCCGTTTAGTTAGTAACTAGCATCGCATTGAACATTTTGACTAAAATTCCTGTTTTTTTTTCTCGTTTTTTTGCAGAGTAATTCACATGCAGATGAGCATTCAGATAGAGAAGAAGACGACATGATGCGCGAAGAATGTGAATCAAGTGACGAAGGTGTTAATTTGAATGCACATACAAATGAAACCGAAACAGCGCTAGACTTTGCTAGCAGCCCAAAACGTTCTCCCTCAAACAATACCAATATTAGGTGAGTCTAGTTTTGTTTTTTTCTCCCAAGTTATTGTTGCTTTCCATTGTAAAGTCCTCGAAATTAATTTAATTCAATGATAATTCAAAAAAAAATAAATAACAAAACTGTTTATATCCAAACCGATCTCCAATACATATTATCGATGTGTGTGTGAGTGTGTGTTTTGCGGTCGGTTCTTCATTTCACATGTTAACCAATGTCGATTTTCTTTTTGCAGCAGTCATCATTCGACATTTGGCCCAAGTCACGCATTAAGTATGCTGAGCAATTTCATGGGCGTACCAAACATACAGAATCTATCAAATTTGCCACACAATGATGTATTGGAAAAATTGAAAATGCAAGTTGGCCTAATGGATCCGGATTTTGCCATTCTGCGTAATTTAAATACACCGCCCAATTCATCATTCAACATGCCTCCCGGCAATGATGCCACATCCACCACATTAGCCAGCCAGCCACACAATTTGTCCACGTTGCAATCATCACAGCAGAAAAATTTCTCATTCACCACACCAAATGCACCAAATACTAAAGATGGTAATTATTGAATGATTTTCGTTCATTTGTTCCAAATTTCATCTTATCTTCTTTCATTTACATCAAAATCTGCGCATGCCATCGATTAAATTGATATGAAAATGTTTGGAAAAAGAAAGTTTTACTCAATGTTCAATGCTTAATTTATTTAAAAAGAAATTTCAGTACACACACAAAATATTGAGTCATCGTGAATATGATTTTAGTGTTGACTTCAATTCAATTAGTTAATAAAGCGTTGGCAATATTTGAATGGTTTCAGAAGCTTAGTGATGAAATCTGATCGATATTAAACTATCTATTTCCGCACATAAAACACAAAACGTGGAACCGAAATCCAAGTATTTTCATATTCAAAATTAGACAGATTCCCATGGTTTGAAATGAATTTGAGTGAAACTTGAACATAAATTGACATGAGTAGATTTGATATCAAACAGCCCAGATTATTTTTATTGTTTTAATTGCTGTTAATTAAAAGCGAAATTTAAAATTTTCCCCCTTCAAAATTGTGTGTCTTTGAATTTGCTGGTGATTTTCCATTAAGGCAATCTAGAATCAAATTCATCCACCTCAAGCGATGCATCGAATTCATCTCAGCAAAATAACGGTTGGAGTTTCGAAGAGCAGTTCAAACAAGTTCGACAGGTTAGTTAGTTGCATTTTTGTCTTTTTTTTTGTATCAATTCATAAAATGTGATTACAAAACTTTCGTTTGGCATTCTCTTCTGGAAGCACGATATGGCGCTTGTAACTAGAAAAAAAAACATATATGTATATTAGGGCGGGTCGATTTGTAGGGAGTGAAAAAAATCGACCAAATACC